ACAGAACACACATTTCCTTTTAACCCCAGCCAGCTGGGTTGAAAAGTACATGAGATGGGGAAAATAAAGCCAGCTGAAACACTGATCTTTCTGATGAATGTTTACAAAAAGCTTTGTAAAAACAAAACCATGGACCTGCATTAACCAGAAATCCCAATGAGAACAAAAAGCCCCAGATGAATCACACTACTGTACGCATCACACTACAAAACAAAAATATTCCCAGTCACCTAAAATCTGGTGCTGAGAATTAACATCTAACCAAAATTGAAGTTAACTTCATCATTCATCTGCTATAGGGACTTCTTAACTCTAGGCTTTGTCACGGATGTGCCTGAAATTGGACATTTGCATTTTTGTATTTATTTTTAATCTTTTAAACCAAAAGGATCATTGCTAACATTTAAAAAAGCTAATTGATCTTTAAACATTAAGTATTAGCTTGCTGTAGCAGTAGTATAAAGAAAATTAATTTTTTGCATTGTGTTGCTGAATACAGATTTATATCCCATACACAAGATTCCTAGCAACCCTCCTGTTTTGGCTCAGAGATGGGCTACATGAAAAAACCATACCTTTTTGATATCAACTACTTACAGATAAAAATCTTGAAAACCTTGCTTGCTTCTTATTCAGACCTAACTGTGACTGGCTTACATTGCTATAAAAGACAATATTTGTAGAAAATCAGACAACCCCCCTCCAAAAGGGATCCTACAGAAAATGTTCTTCTGCACCCAGAACCAACTTTCATAATTTCAGAAAAAAGATTGGGGTGGTGAAGGAAAGGACAAAACCTATGCCTCTTTCCCCAGACTTTGAAAGAATTCAATAATTTAAGTAAATATTATAATAGTGTGAACTCATATAGTTTTAGTATTATGTTCTGCACTGCAGCAGCATTCATTCTCATGCAGACAGACCAGCAATATTCCCACATCTGACTCACACTGTGCATTCTGCACACCCATTCCACTGTCTACATAAGTAACAAGTTTTGGGGCTTCAAGATTGAAGTCTTATCAGTATCAAGAAGCCTATCTGAATCATTTAATTATCACCTTTACAAACATTATACAAATGCTTGTCCATTTTGGTATGAAATCCTACAACTAGCAAACAGGTTTTAAGTGTTTTGCATGTATACATGCACAGGGACATGGCACAAAGCTTATTTCTAGAAGTTTGAAGAATAAATCTGGGTGCTTGATCACAGTGATTAATTCAACAAAAATATTTTGCCACAGTAAGCTTCTATAACACATACAAAGTACCAGTGTCTCTCTCCAGACAAGATGTCTGTTTGTACATACAAAAAGCTACTGCCTACATTTATGTTGATTTGGTGTCATATTCTTCTGGGATCTCATACCACTTATCTGGAGTTTGGCATCCCAATGACTACTTTAACCTGTGTGGTTGTATAACAAGCAGCCACATGATGGCACTGTGTAACTAGTTTCAGTGCCTTTGTTACAGGCATTTTTCTGTAAAATTGGGCTTGAACTGTTTTCTCCCAGCTCATTTGAACCAGTAAAGACAAAAAGTCAAGGAAGGTGCATTTTGTTACTTTTTTATAGTTACTATGGCTTAACTCCTGTGGCTGGTAGGCTATACCCATCAATTTAAATCTCAGCTGAGATGGCCAAGTTATTTCAGAATTAAAATATATTAAAATGCAATTAAGGATCAGCCAAAGCCAGAAATCTTTATATAGAATTTCCTTAATCATATTTTTTCTGTTTAGTTTGTGTGTTGGTTTTGCATGGCAAGGTTTTGGTAGCGGGGGGGCTACAGGGGTGGCTTCTGTGAGAAGCTGCTAGAAGCTTCCCCTGTGTCTGATAGAGCCAATGCCAGCCGGCTCCAAG